TGGTCGATTGTGGTGCACGACGTGAACCGCAAGCTTCTCGCCGAGGCCCGGGGCGTGGCCCCGCTCGGCGAAGGCCCAGAGCGGTTCGCCAGGGGCGGCGAGGACTGCGCGGTGAAGATAATGGTTGACGCGGTGGCAGGCGGCCGCTTGCGCCTCTACATTGGCTGCCTCGCCACCGTGCGCTGCGCGGGCCGCCCAGAGGCGGCGGCGGCCGCCGGCTGCCGGCGAGCCCGCCTCGGGCGGGGGGGGGGGCTGAGAGGCGTCAGGACGTCGCGGTTGTCGAGGTCGTGGCCAGCCGTGGCCAGTCGGCGGCAGCGAACGGCCAGACCACCCAGTTCGAGCTGGACGGCAACGCCAGGGCGGACATGCGGGCCAAGGAGGGAGCTGCGGCCGCCATGGCGCCACTGGCGGACATCCAGTGCCTCGAAGGCTGCCAGGTGATCGCCCGACAGGCGGCGCAGTGTGCAGCGCTGCAGGAGGTCCACATCACCCTTGTGGATTGATGGGCTCCATGGGTGCCGGCGCGCTCGGGCTGATCGACTTGGGCGAACGCCCCAGGGGCCTCGACGAGTCGGACGGGGACGACGGTGTGAAGCCTGAGACCAGTTCCCATCGGCTGGGGCGGGGGCCGGCGGGCAGCCGCAGGCGGCGGCCTGCCGCCGTGGCGCGTGCGCGGGCGCGCACTGCTCGTGGCGCCGATCTTCGCGGATCGATATGCCCGCGATGCATCGCGATCGAATGGTCGGTCTTTAATTGTATTGCTCCACGTGCTGTGGGTGCATGTCTGATAGGAAGGGGCGAGGCCTCCAGGACACGTGTTCTGGGGGCCCGATCCCCAGTGCCAAGAGAAATCGCAGCAGTGTCAAGCGTGGGAAGCACCTCAAGAGCAGGACAGGGCTTCTTGGTAGCCTTAGGTTGCCTTCGGAATCTGATATCTATTTATGGAGGCCCAAACGCGTCTCCCGACCGATTGCCCGAAGAGGCCGGACGGTCCTGGAGGCGTTGCCGTCCTTCGGGCCCCACCTGGCCCATGCCCAGCAGTTGGGGATCCAGAGCTTTAGCGGCCCGAGCCGAGGCCCTTGCGTCGAGGCAGAGGGCCCGTGCGGCCCAGGGTCCTGAGGACCACCCAGGGTTCTGATCCTAGTGCCCGTGCGCAGCTCGCTGCGCGCGGGTGCGTGGGCCAGGTGCCTGGGCGGGCTTTGGGGCCGAATTCGTCCTGCAAGACCTTTTTTGGTAAAGTCTCTCCTCCTCCTCCTCCTCCTCCTCCTCCTGCTCCCGTGCGTGCCACCACGGAGCGTATGCTGGATGAGCGGCGTCAGGACGCTGCGAGACGCGCCCGCCGCGCTTTTGCGACGGCGCAGGCTCAGGAGGGTGAGTACTGGAAGCGGAAGCAGGGCAGTATAGTGAAGAAGGCCCAGCTGTGGCTTCGCAAGCTGCCCGTTTGGCAGCTGAGCGGCGTCAAGGTGTGTGCGACGGAAGAGCTCCCTGCCCCGCCTGTGACGGGGAGCGTCTCCGAGCGGCCTTCTGATGTCACGGTGAAGAACGCCGACGCTATGCTGGCCGCGGTGCGCGAGTACTGGGGCCCCATCTTCAGGAAGAACGATATCGACGAGGAGGCGGCGAGGGAGTACATCGAGCGTTGGTTCGCGCCCGCCAGTTCACGCGAGGACTTTGCCTTCAGCGAGGAGGATCTACTGCGCGCAGCTCAGCGTGGACGTGAGGTGGCCCCTGGACCTGACAGGCTGCCCTACGTCGCCTGGGCGAGGTCGCCTGCAGCGGTGGCCTGGCTGTACCGGCTGTGCCAGGAGGCGCTTGCGGGGCTGGGCTTCCCCGACGACTTCAACCACGGGCTGCTGGTCCTGATCCCGAAGAGTGGGGAGGCGTTCAGCGCGTCGGAGGTGGTGCGTCGGCCTGGTGCGCTAAGGCCGCTCATGCTGCTCAACACGGACAGGAAGATGATCGCGACCGTGGTCAACCATGAACTAGCTGGAGTGGCGAGGAAGGAGGCATCGGCGGTCCAGCATGGGTTCGTCCGTGGCAGGACGTTCATTCCGAACATCATCAAGCTGGACCTGATGGCGCGCACATTCAGTGCGCTCAGTGAGACGAAGGGAGGGCACCCCGCGCTGATCACGTTCGACGTGAAGGCGGCGTTCCCCAGCGTCAGCCGTCTCTGGATGGCGCTGGTCCTGGACAAGTGCGGCCTCTGCGACTCCGTGAGGACCCTGATCGGCGCCATGTATGACAAGCAGATGGCATGGCTGCGGGTAGGCGAGGACTTGATGGAGGCCTTCGCGGTCACGGCAGGTGTGGCGCAAGGCTGCCCGATGTCGGGCTCGCTCTGGGCGTTGCTCTTCTCGCCCTTCCTAGAGCACATGGCCTCCGTCCTGGACATGCCGTGGCGGCGGGAGGCCTGGAAACCAGAGCTGCCCATAGTGCAACGCAAGGGCGACGTGGAGGGCTGCGCGGATGACGTGGGGATGGTGCTCCGCGACCTGGCCCTGCTGCCGCGGATCGGCCCGATCTTCATGGCGATGCAGGTGCTGGCGTGCCTGGAGCTCAATCTGTCCAAATGCTTCCTGGTGCCGTTGTGGGCGCCGATTACGGAGGAGATCGTGGTCTACGTGAAGAGTATGCTCGAGGCGAGCATCGCGGGCTGGTCAGACTTCTCGGTCGCCTCCATGACGAAGTACTTGGGCTGCTGGCTGGGGCCTGGCGCTGACCTCGCAAGACAGTGGCACGACCCTGCGGCCAAGTATGCGGCGAGGACGAGGGCGCTGGGTGCCAGTGCCCTTTCCAACGATGCAGTGGTCCAGGCGTACAACGGGCTAGCGATCCCGTGCCTGCTCGATGTCGCCATGCTCTTCCCGATCCCCGACGGGCTCGTGGACAAGGAGCTGGACTTGCTACACGTGCTGCTGCGCGTGCCACCGAAGTCGTTCAGGAAGGACTGCCTCCTGGCGCTGGGCTCCTCCCTGGACGTCACGGCGCCGCTCTCCCTCTTCGCCTCGGCGATGGCTGCGAGGATGAGGGCGGCGATCAAGCTGCCGGCGGAGTGGCTCGCCCTCCTCGAGGGCGTCGAGGACTTCTTCACTGACGTGCGGGGCGAGGCGCTGTGCAGGCTTGCGGACCTGCCGACTGACCTCTTCACGCCGGTGTGGTGGCAGGACCGCCGTGGGCCTGCGCGTCACCTCAGGGACGCCCTGGGATGCTGTGCGCCGACCTGCAGACCCAGGAACCGACGTCGGACGGAGGCCTGCCTGCGCGCCGCGAAGAGGCGCTCGCTGGCAGTGGAGGCTGTGTGGCTGGCGCAGCCCCATCGTGAGAGGAAGAAAAAGCGTTTTTCCTTCCAGTCCACCTACCGCTCCATCCTTTCGTCTCTCCTCTATCTTGATTCCTTTCCTGTCACATTCAGGAAAAGGTTGGCTGCGTGGCAGGTGCGAGCGCCCGCCACACGTGTGTTGGCGCAGAGATGGGAGGCGCTTAAGAGCGTCCTTCGTAATAAAGGGAGGGGGGTGAGGTGGGCGGTGATCAAAGTAATGTGCGGAGCATGGCCCACAGCGGCCAGAATGCATGTCACGAATGTCCGTTCGGCCCCTTGTAAATTCGGTTGTGAGAATGGATCTGACAATATGTCCCACTATTTGAGGTGTCGGCACCTGTGGTGGGCCGCCTGTTTTCCTCGGGAATTTTGTTCCAACTCTGTATTAATGAAGCTTTGTCTTGGGTCCTCTCGGGACCACGCCTCGACCCCCGATGACTCGCTCGATCGGTCGGTCTTGAGGCTTAGCCTGACGCACCAGCTGCACGCTATCATATCTGCGCATCCTGGTTCTGGGCCACAGCACTTACTTCGTTGCCTTGATATTGCACGTGCACGCACGGGTAGGTAGGCGACTCTTCCTCTGGAGCGACGTTCGCTCCTCCTCCTGCTCCTCCTCCTCATCCTCCCCTCCTTCTCCTTCTCCAGTTCTAGGTTTTTTCTTTGTAAATAATTAATTTCTCCCTGTCGCACTCCGAGGCCAGTTTTTTGGGCGAGCTGGGCGTTTCGCTTGGGACGCCCTCGTTTTTGGGCCCTGAAGCTTACAAACTGGCAGCAGTTTCGCAGATGGAGGGCGGGTGGTTTTCAACATGTGGCTTTTGCCCTGGCCCCGCGTGCATTCGTTCTACAGGTTTGCACCAGTTTCATGGATTCCCATGATCAGCGCACCAGAACTGGTGAGAAACAGTTTGGATTACGATGATACAACAGTTACATTGGTTCGTGGTGTTAAACCTCAGGAATGGCATTCTGGCACGGTTCACGATCGTCAAGACGCAACAGTCAAGTTGAGGCGTTGTGTTGGATCCCGAGAACAATGGTTTGGCACGCTTCACGGTCTTCAAGCGGTTGCCTTCCAACGAAGCAGATCATTCAGTGAAGATGAACCCTTGTTGAGGCCTATGAAGAGGGAGCTTGGAGGGAGGGTTCAGTCCAACTTCATTGATGACTTTTACGTTGACATTGGATCTCTTTCTCCTCCTCCTCCTCCTCCTCTTCCTCTTCCTCCTCTTCCTTTTCCTCCTTTTCCTCCTTCTCCTCCGCCTCCTCGTCCCCCTTCGTCCTCCTCCTCCTCCTTCTCCTCCTCGTCGTCCTCCTCCTCCTCATCTTCCTCCTCCTACCGTGGGCCCAAGAGCGGTGTACACACACACCAAGAGCGGTGTTCATGCCTCCCTGGCTACTAAGCCAGGGGGGGGCGTCTATACACCGCTCCTGGGCCCGCGGTGGGCCGAGGCAGCGGCAGTGGACGTGTAGACCCAGACATCCGGCGTCTCTGCTTTTGTCGGGACGGGCCCCCGACTGCTCGACCGATTCCCCGGGACCGGTCTTTTGTCCCGCGTTGTTTGACGACGGTCCCGAGGCCCAGTGCGGGCCCCCGAGAGACCGAAAACGATGCAGAACCGCCGTCTCGACTTCTTCGCGACGCTGGAACTGTCTGGGGAGCCCTCGTCGCCCCGAGGTCGCCAGCCCCCAGCGGGCGCGGCCCGGCGGCCGGCGGCGGCCGCGACGCTGCCAGCGAGGCGCCCGAGGCGCCGACGGGGAGCGGCCATGCGCTGCGTGCTGACGGCCCGCTGTCACCGGGCGCCCGGAGCTCGAGGGAAGAAGCAGGGGGCCACGACCAAGACGTCGCTCCAGGGAGGTCCCCCCCGACGAAGTTTTGAGGTTCGAGGTTTCGAGGTTTTCGTGCGTTGATGTCGGTTCTCGGCGGCTGTGCAGCTTGGGGATGCTCTCCAGCGGCTGCGCCTCGCCGAGGGCGTTCTGGGGGGGCCCGGATCGTCGCGAACGGTCGCCGTAAGCCTGAGGTATGACCCGAAAACCATCAGCCACGCGCAGAGGGGGGAAGGGGAAGGGGGGAAGGCTTCTGTAGATGTAGATGTAGATGTAGACGTAAGTCCAGCGCCTTCTAAGGAACAGCCTACTTCTGAGAAGCCTTCGCCCCTCCCCCTTAACCCTTTGTGCGCGCGGCCAAAAGATGTCGCGTGATCTTGTCGATACCGATCTTGGTCATGGTCCATGTCGGCCGTGGCCGACTCGCGAGGATGATCCACGAATTGACGCTGACCAAGTATTGACACTGACCAGGATCGACACGACGTTTCCGCGTTCAGTCTTGGTCATGGTCCCCGTTGTCTTCCCCTCCAGGAGCGGCCACTCCCTGCCGCGAAGGACTCCTGGAGGCTCGCAGAAACCCCAGACATTTACGGCGTCGCGAAGAAGTCGAGATCTGCATCGTTTGCGGCCTCTCAGGGCCCTCACCGGGCCTCGGGACCGTCGTCAAACGACGCGGGATGAAAAACCGGTCCCGGGGAAGTGGCCGAGAAGTCGGGGGCCCGTGTCTCGACAAAAGTCGAGGCGCCAGATGTCTGGGTTCGGAGGCTGGCAGAAGCCTCTACCCCTCAGAGGAGGGAGATGCCCTGAGATCCTGGCGTCGCACCCTTTTCGCACCGCGCGTTTTCGCCAGGCTTCGCCGCGTTTGACAGGCGATCGCAGACACGTGGGGTTCGAAACCGGTTTACGTTTCGCCTTCTTTTCTGGGGTGCGTCGAATATTTCCAGATGCTAGCACAATCCAAACAATTATCCTGGCGATGAGCCCAACCATATACAGTTGTGAGTACCGTCGTTGCAGGTATCGCCTTCGGGGGATCTCCTCACGGGGCCATGAAGCATGCGAAGGGTGTGCCGATGTGGGGCGGGGCCGCCATGTAGGTGCTGTCACTGGTGCTTTAGGTGGACCGCGCTACGGGGCCGCGAAAAGTGCGAGGGGTGCGCCGCAGTGGGGCTGGGCTGCCACTGGGGCCTTCGGTGGAACTCCTGTGGGGAAACGCATGCGAGTACAGCCACCGGGGTCTCCGGGGTCTCCCCATGAGGCCACGAAACGTTGTGCTTGGTGGGGGGAACGCATGCAAACACTGCCACTGGGGCCTTCGTTGGATCTCCTATGGGACTACGAACGCTGCACTGGGCGGGGGTGACGCATGCATGTGTATCCACTGGGGCCTCCCGTTGAGCTCCCGATGGGGCCACAAACTGCTGTATTGGGTGGGGGTGGCGCATGCGGGCGGTGCCCCTGTGGCCTTCGGTGGAGCTCCATATGGGGCCACGAAGCGCTGTACTGGGTGGGCATGACGCATGAAGGTGGTGTCACTGGCGCCTTCGATCGAGCTCTCTATGGGGCCACGAACCGCTGTGCTGGGTGGGGTGTGACGCATGCGGGCGGTGCCACTTGGGACTTCGGTGGAGCTCCCTATGGAGCCACGACGCGCTGTACTGGGTGGTGGTGACGCATGCGGGCGGTGCCGCTGTGGCCTTCGGTGGAGCTCCCTATGGGGCCACGAAGCGCTGTACTGGGTGGTGGTGACGCATGCCGGCGGTGCCACTGCGGCCTTCTGTGGAGCTCCCGATGGGTCCACGAAGCGCGTACTGGGTGGGGGTAACGCATGCGGGCGGTGCCACTGGGGCCCTCGGTGGAGCTCCCTATGGGGCCACGAAGCGCTGTACTGCGTGGGGGATGACTCATGCGGGCGGTGCCACTGGGGCCTTCGGTGGAACTCCCTACGTGGCCACAAAGCGCCGTACTGGGTCGGTGTGACGCATGCGGGCGGTGCCACTGGGGCCCTCGGTGGAGCTCCCTATGGGGCCACGAAACGCTGTACTGGGTGGGGGTGACGCATGCGGGCGGTGCCGCTGTGGCCTTGGGTGGAGCTCCCGATGGGGCCACGGAACGCTGTACTGGGTGGGGGTGGCGCATGCGGGCGGTGCCGCTGTGGCCTTCGGTGGAGCTCCCTTATGGAGCCACGAAGCGCTGTACTGGGTGGGGGTGACGCATGCGGGCGGTGCCACTGTGGCCTTCGGTGGAGCTCCCTATGGGGCCACGAAGCGCTGTACTGGGTGTGGGTGACGCATGCGGGCGGTGCCACTGGGGCCCTCGGTGGAGCTCCCGATGGGGCCACGACGCGCAGTACGGGGTGGGGGATGACGCATGCGGGCGGTGCCACTGGGGCCCTCGGTGGAGCTCCCTATGGGGCCACGAAGCGTGTGAGGGGTGTGCCGAAATGGGTGTGGGTGACGCATGCGGGCGGTCCCATTGGGGGCTTCCGTGGAACTCCCTATGGGGCCACGAGACGCTGGAGGAGGGGGAGGGAGGAGGGAGGAAGGAGGAGGAACGCGGGGACCGTCTCTTCAAAACGAGGACCCAACACCACAGGATGGTTGGGAAAAGATACACGCTCATGAACTTTCTGAGCGGGTCCAGCGCCGATCCAAGACTTCCGCACGGACCTCCGAAAGTTGATGTCCATGTAGTTTTTCCTGTTTCCAAGGCCCCCAGTCGTCACCTGAGATCCCGGCGTCGCATTTTCTTTGCACTGGGCGTTTCGCCAGGTTCTGGGCCCCTGGACCATCATAGATCGATCCAGTTCGACAACTGCCGCAGCAAGGTGGGATCTAGGACGGTGATCTTCTGACGGTGTTTCAACTTTTGCGCGACGTCAGAGCTCAGGACATCCTGACATGCCCTCGTCGGCACGACGGGCTTCGCATGGAAATCCTGGGCAGGGCGCACCCCCCGCGAGAGGTCCGGGGAGTAGCGGTGTCTGCCTGTTTGCCCCCCCCCCCCCCCCCCCCACACCCCCTGCCCCCACGGAGTCGATTGGCGAGTTGCCCTATTTCGGTTCTCAAGAGGGTGCTGCGCGCTCATTTAGGGGCAACGTTGGGGGAGGACATGCTCGGCGGGGGACGCATCAACCGTTCATCGCCGAGAGGGGCCTGATGGCCCACTCCGCCCTGGTGAGTGCGAATTCGCTGCGTGGGGCCAATCGCCGATCTATCGGCCATGTCTCGCCGATTCCAGGCTGATGTTTTCCTCCCCCTTGAGTCGGTGCCCCCCCCCCCCGATCGCTGCCCCTCAAGAGCCCCAGCCCGCCAAGTCGATTAGCGAATTGCCCTCTGCTGAGGCTGTGCCGTGTCCGCCCCCGAAGGATGGGAACGGCGCAGTCGAAGCTCAGCAAGCACTCGAAGGTCACCGAGGGCGAACCGTCGGCACAGACACAAGCCCTCGGAGGCCAGCGCGGACTTGCCGGGGGTCGGCGCCCAGGCCCCCGTTGGATCGGCGCCTCTGGCGCCGCTCCGAGAGAGCTGCGCGGGCCTCCGAGAGCAGGCGCCTGTGCAGCTCGTGCCCCCTCCAGGTCAGCAAGCGCTCGAGGGTCACGGCGGTGACCAGGAGGACCAGCTTCGGGGAGCGCGCGAAGGTGAACCTGAGCTCGAGGGTCTTCCGGGACTGCCTGGGGCTGCTGCTTTGGCACCTGCGGTGGCCGCTGGTGGGGTGCTTTCTGCCCCTCTGCCTGATCCTCGGGGGCCTGGCCGTCTGGAGGATGTCGACGGCGGGTGCAGGTCTGCCCGTGTTCTCCAACGAGACGAACGCCGGCAGGCAGGAGTGGATCCTGGATGGCCTCTTCGGGACCTACGACACCGCCGTTCTCGGCGAGGCCATGGCCTCGTTCCCATCGACCGCGACGATCAAGGAGACGTGCCCAGGCGTCAGCGACGACGGCTGCACCACCTGCTCCGGCCACGGGCGATGCTCGTGGGACGGTGGCCAGTACGCTTGCAGCTGCGATGCGGGGTGGTTCGGGATGTCATGTGCGCTGGGCGCGGAGGCGTACCAGGTGAGCTTCGTGACACCAGACCTGTCGCACGTGGTGGTCTTGTCAGGCCCTGCGATGACGGCGGCCATGGCGGCGGTGAGCGACCTGGTGGTCTCGAACGATGGCGCGACCCCAGCGTCGTGGCAGCTCCAGCTCGGTGACTGGGTGGGTGGCTCGGACTGGGTGGCCCTCTCCGACCTCAGCGGGGACTTCTCGCTGCAGGCGGGCGGCCCGCGCTCCATCGCCACCCTCACGGCCGCCTTCGACCTCACCGGCAAGCCCGCGGGCTGGCGGGGCGCTGCGACCGCCCGGCTCGTGGGCACGAACTCCCCCGAGCCCGCCTCGATCGAGCTGCGCGCCGCGGTGGCGCAGAGCCTGTCTCTCTCGAACATCTCCCTGACGGGCGGGGGCGAGACTTGGGCCCTGGCAGACTTCGACCCCGACGTCGCCGTCTACGACGTCCTCCTGGGCTACGAGCGGGCCAGCGTGCGCGTGGTGCCCTTCTTCTTCGAGGCGGCCTCGGCGGAGGTGCGCGCGGGAGGCCGGCGCCTCTCGGCCAGCGGCGGGGAGGGGGGCGAGGCGCTGCGGAGCGGCGAGAGCTCCGCGCCCGTGGAGCTGGAGGTGCAGGCGCCCGTGGCGGTGACCGTGACGGCGGTGCTGCTCGGGGCCTCCAACACGTACACGCTGAACCTGATCCGGCAGGCGCAGGGCAGGAAGAGGCAGTGGCCCACACCGCAGCCCTCGCCTCGTGCCCCCCTCCTTTGGGGCCTCCGGGGAGGCCCCCGCCGCCCTCGCTGGGCTCGCCTCGAGAGCCTGGCCAGAGCGCACCCCAGGAGAGGTCCGGGGAGCAGCGGCATCGGCACCTTGTTGTCCCCCCGCAGGCGGCCACGGCCCCAGAGCCGCCGCGGCTGCTGCGCGCGGTAGCCGCCGGGCAGCGGCTCGCCGTGACCTGGGCGCCCCCCGCTTACGACGGCGGCAAGGAGGTCACCGCCTACGAGGTCGTTGCCGTCGCGTCGGGCGGCGCCGCCGCCCTCACCGCCTCGGTGGCGTGCCAGCCCGCGGGTTGCTACGCGCTCTCGGGCTACGACGAGTCCAGCCGTGCGTGCTGCGAGCACGAGCTCGAGGGCCTGGCCGACGGCGAGTCGTACACGGTGAGCGTCATGGCCGTGAACGACGTCGGCACGAGCGGGGGCTCCTCGCCAGAGATGTGCGCGGACCCCTCCTGCTTCCCGTGGCTTCCCGTCATGGCCGGCGGCGGGGCGCCCGCCATCGGCTCGCAACCCACGGCGACCGTGGTGGCCGATGGCAAGGTCGAGGTGTCCGTGGCGCCCGAGAGTGTCGACAACGGGGGCGCAGTCCCCCTTTGGTTCGTCTGCACGCCCAGCCCGGGGGCGGCGCTGGGGAGCGCCAGCTCGGAGCCCGGCGCCATCTCCATCTCCGAGCTCCCCGTGACCCAGGCGTTCAGCTTCAGCTGCACGGTCACCAACGCTGGTGGGGAGGTGTCGGCAGCGTCTCCTTCCACGCCAGAGATAATGCCAACGCTGATCACTGGAACAACTACCACCATCACCACCCTCACTTCCATCACAACGGTGAGCACGTTGACGCAGATAGCAGTCTCGGGATCCTTGGACCTGGAGCTCAGCGATGACATCGACCCCGACGACGAGGAGGCCTTCAACGCGGCAATGGCCCAGGCAATTGCGAACATGCTGGGGGTTCCAGTCAGCACCGTCCAGATCACGTCTGCTGGCCGCCGGTTGTCCCAACAGGCGCGGCGGCTTGATTTTGTTTTGTGTTGTCCTAGAACGTGCTTTCACCGAGGGTGTCTTGTCTGGGCTGTGGAGGTTCGCACAGACGTGCCGTCGAAGTGTATCCCCGCCGCTCGCTCCGACTAGCTCCTTGCCCTGGCGTGGCGATGATTCTGTTCGCTGCAACCAGCCCCGACTGGCCCGTTGCCCTGTCGCGCAAGAAGCTCTCTTAGCCCCGCGTGGTCCGTCGCTCTGGCACGGTATCATCTCTGTTCGCCACAGCTGGCCCCGAGTAGCCCCTTGCCGTGGCGTGTCAGATGTTCGGTTTGCATCGACTAGTCTCGACAGGCCAGTTGCCCTCGTGTGGCCAGGAGCGCTGCCACTAGTTTTTTGCAAGCGCGTTGCCCTGACGCGCAGGGAAAACCAGTCGCCGCCGCTAGCCTGGCTAATGCTTTGCCCTGCATTGCCATGACATGCCGGGAACTCCGTTCGTCGCCGGTGGCCCCGGCTAGCCCGTTGCCTTGGCATGCCAGGAACTCTGTGGACCACCATGAGTTCCGACTGGCTGTTTGCCCTGGCATGCCAGGTTTGGCTCGCCGCCACTGGTCTCATGCCAGGAGCTCCGATCGCCGTCATCAGCTCCGACTAGCACGTTACCCTGGTATGCCAGGAGCTTCATTCGCTGCCGTTAGTCCCGACTAGCCGACTAGCCACTGGGTGCCGTCACCACTCATCAGATTATCACCTGTGCAACCACCATCAATATTATTACTATTACCACGACTCTGTGCGAAGGCATCATCATTGCCACCACGGCGTTCATTCACATGACGACGCCGCTACAATCACTAACGTGCTAATTTTGTGTCAACTAGGTGGTACTGGGCTGTACTGCTGGGAACGGTGTGCCCCGCGAAGTTTGAGTACCCCTCTGCTTTGGATGCGTGCGCCAGTCATTTGGTTTTGCCTGTGAGCCCTGCCGCAAGCAAGAAGCAAAGAGCGGCGCCAGGACCTCGGCGCCAGGACCGTCCAGTTCACCGTGAGCGGCACGACCCGGGACGACCTCAACGAGCAGATCTCCGGCCTGAGCGCGAGCGACATGGACTCGCAGGTCAACGCTGCTCTCTCACAGGAGGGCGTAGGCAGCACGGCCCAGGTCGAGAGCTTCGGCGTGGACGCGGCGCCCACGGCTGCTCCAGCGCCCGCGCCGACCGCGGACCCCACACCCCTGGCTCCGACGGCGGCGCCGACGCCTGCTCCAACGCACGAGCCCACGACGAAGACGAGCACGTCGGTGACCGAGAGCACGACGACTTTCTGGTCCGAGACGACAGTGACAGTGTCAACACAGACCTACTCTGGTGATCAGCCTCCGAGCGCGCCCAGCGTCGTCGCAGCTGTGTCTGGCCCTGGCGAGATCAACGTCTCGGTCACAGCCTCGCCTGGGAACAAGTGGCCAATCAGCAGATTCATTTGCAACGTCTCTCTGCAAGGCACCGCTGTTCAGACGGAGGAGGTCGCCAACGACGACGGCCGTGCCGACATCGTCTTCTCGAGCCTCGACGAAGGCTCGAGCTACCAGTTCAGCTGCATCGCCACCAACGATGTTGGGGCCTCGGTGCCGTCCGAAAAGATTTCCGTGACGGCCATCGGGGTTCCAGCGCCGCCCGTGGTGACCTCCGTCGCAGTCACAGGTGTCGGGGAACTGACCCTGCACCTCTCCCTCTCCAGCACGTCTGCGGCGCCAGTGGAGAGCGCCCGATGCAGGGCGACGATGGACGAGGACGGCCCGGAAGCTGGGCGGGGTGGGGCAGGCTCGGGCCGTCTCGGCGCGGCGTCGGCGCGGGTGGCTGCCGCTCGATATCGGGGGCCCCCCAGCAGCCTTGTGTGTCTCCCAGCAGCGGGAATCGTTCAAGATCGAGCGGCTCACGCGGCAGCAGTGGTCGGAGCCCACGTCGTCATGACAGGATCCGGAGCATGAGCGGTGGGGTGGCGTGATAAAGCCTGCAGAGTGCTTCGCAGAAGCACGGAGGAGATGTCTCCCCATCCCGCTGAGATCCCGCCCCCTCTGTATATACACATCTGTATATGCATGTAGGTGTGCATATATATATATATATATGTTTATGAACATTCGGTACATACATACATGTACATGCGTGTGCATATTTGGATATAGATGCGTGCATGCATTTATACATATGTTTAGATGTACATACCCACGTACATACATACATGCATACATTCATACATACGCTCATACACATACATACATACATACATACATACATGCATACACACATACATACATACATACATACATACATACACACATACATACATACTTCCATACAGACTTCCATACATGCATAACTACATACTTATACACCTACACACATACTTACACATACACACATACATTCACACACACATATATATACATGCGTACATACATACATACATACATACATACATACATACACACATACATACATACATACATACACACGTACATACTTATATACACACGTACATACGTGCGTACAACCACATACATGCATACATACATTCACACACATACATGCATACATACACATACATACATACACACACATACACATACATACATACATACATACATACATACATACATACATACATACATACATACACACATACATACATTCACACGTACATACATACACACGCACACACATATACCTACCTACCTACTTACCTGCCTGCCTGCCTACCTACCTACCTACCTACCTACATACATACATACATACATACATATATACATACATACACACCGACATACACACATGCGCGCACATATACACATCTGAATGCACATGAGCGCAGTTCTCCAGCACCCAATCATTTTGCATCGGCCGTCGTAATCGTACTGATCATCTGCCTTCTTGTCATCCGTGCCTGCGCATCCATCTTCTCTGGTCGTCACTTCTTCGCTGTCTTCTTGTGCTTGCATATACTTGAAATCCGCCGGATTTGGGATCTGCTCACTTCCAATAACATCGAACACTATTCCAACTGGATCCATTTGGATACAGCTGCATCTGGAATGCGCCCGATTCCAACAAATTTCTAAGAATCTCCAGATCGGGATCCAATTCTAAGCAGCTCAATCTGGGATGTACCCAATTGAAATTACATGTCAATCCAACCCCACTAGGAATCCATTTGTAATCAGCTAGATCTGTGGTCTGCCCAATCCGAATCATATCTTAGTCTGATGTCAAACGGAATCCGATTGGAAACAGCTGTGTCTGGGATCTGCGCCATTCCAAATGTATTCTAATCCGATTGCAATAGGAAGCAGCTTGGAATCAGCTGGATCTGGGATCTGTTTAATTCCAATTCGATTCTAACTCGATGTCGCTAGGAATGCATGTGAAATCAGCTGTATCTGTGGTCTGCTCAATTCTAGTTCGATTACAGTCTAATTCGATTCCAATAGGAATCACACTATGACACAGCTGGATCTGGGATGTGCCCAATTCCAATTACATTCAATTCCACTAGGGATCCAATTGGAGTCAGCTGGGTCTGTGATCTGCCCAATCCGAATTAGATTTTAGTTAGATTCAAAGGGGGATCCAACTGAAAACAGCTGTATCTGGGATCTGGTCCATTCCAACTTGATTCGGATTAGATCCCACCAGGCATCTAATTCGATCCGCCTGGATCTGGGACCTGCTCCATCCTAGTTCGTTTCGAACTTGATCCAAATAGGAATCTACTTGGAAGCAACTGGACCGGGGCGCCGCTCCACCCCACTGAGGTTCCACCTGTGTTCCAATAGGGATCTAATTCTAACCAGCTGGATCTAGAATCTGCCTCTCTCTCTCTCTGTTTCTCTCTCTTTCTGTCTCTGCCTGTCTCTGTCTGACTGTCTGTCTGACTGTCGTCTGCCTGTCTGTCTGTCTGTCTGTCTCTTTGTCTGTCTGTCTATATGCATGTCTGTCTGCCTGTCTGTCTGCCTGTCTGTCTGTCTGTCTGTCGGTCTGTCGGTCTGTCTGTCTGTCGGTCTGTCTGTCTGTCTGTCTGTCTGCCTGTCTCTCTCTTCTCTCTCTCTCTTTTTTTTTTTTTTTCTCTCTCTCTCTCTGTCTCTCTCTCTCTCTCTCTCTCTCTCTCTCCCTCCCAGGCACCCAACGCAGTCCCTGTGAAAACACAAGGTTGGCGATGCCAGGAGTGCGGGCACCTTTTTCTATGTTTTCGGTTTCTGGGGTGAGAAGTGAGGAAGCCAGGTGTTCTCATTTGGGTTTCTTGGATTTGGGCTTTCCCCCCCTCCAGCAAACACCCAACCCAGGAGCCCTCCCAGGAGCTCCGATCATTATAATCCCGTACACGTCCCACACCCACGTGACAACACATGTTTCTTCGCTTCTCATCCCAGAATCGCAAACATCCAAATTACAACACATGGTTTACGATGTCAGGGGTGCGGAAGCCGGGTGTTTCATGTGCACTGTTCGGATTTCTGGGGTGAGCAGTGAGGGAACCATGTGCTTTCATTTGGATTTTATGATTTTCGGGATTCTGGGGGTCGGAGCTCCCGGGAGGGCTCCTGGGCTGGATTTTCGCTGGAGGGAGGACAGTGTCCCCAAATCTAAAAAGTACAGATGAAAACACATGGTTTCCTCATGCCGCCTCCCAGAGATCCTAAACATCCAAATGACAACACAGGGTTTCCACACCCCTGGCATCGCCAACCTGGTGTTTTCAAAGGGATTGTGTTGGGTGTCTGGGAGAGAGAGGGAGAGAGAGAGAGAGAGAGAGAGAAAGAAAGAGAGAGAGAGAGAGAGAGATAGAGAATGAGAGAACGAGACAGAGAGAAATAGAGAGAGAACGAGAGAGAGATACAGAGAGAGAGAGAGAGAGAGAAAGAGAGAGACAGAGACAGGCAGACAGACAGAGAGAGAGAGAGAGACGAGGAGAAGGAAGTCCAGTATAAAACCAAGAGCCACCAACGATGTTGGAATTCACCCTCCCTCCAAGTTCACTCTTCATGGGCTCCCAAAGCGGTTCATTTCCATTGAGGGAGCTGCCTCGCTGGAAGACAACCGCTTGAAGATCCTGAAGTATGTCAAAACATTGTTCTCGGGATGTCATCGCCACGTGTCAACCTGACTGCTGCGTCTTGACGATCCGGAATCGCGCCAGAGCGCCATTTGTGGGACTTCGACACCGCGAACCAACATAATTGTTGCACCCGCATAATCCTGAATCCTTCCAGACCACAATTTCAGGTACGCTGATCATGGGAATCCGTGAAACTTCTGCAAATTGTTAAAACGAATGTGCGCGGCGCCAAGGCGAGAGCCACATCTTAAAAAGGAGCCGCCTCCAATCCGTGGAACTCTGGCAATTTTTAAGATTGAATGTGCGCGGCGCTAAGCGGGAGCCACATTTTGAAAAGGAACCGCCCTCAATTCGCGAAGTTCTTGCACATATTGAAAGCGAATGTGCGCGGCGCGAAGGCGAGAGCCACATTTTAAAGAGGAGCCGCCTTCAATCAGTGAGACGCTTGCACATTCTTAAATCGAATGTACGCGGTGCTAAGGCGAAAACCACATTTTGAAAAAGGAGCCGAATCCGTGAGGCTCTTGCAGTTTTTTTAAAGCGAATGTGCGCGGCGCTGAGGCGAGAGCCACATTTCGAAAACCACCCGCCCTTAGTCTTGCAAAGTTTTAAAGCGAATGTGCGCGGCGCTAAGGCGAGAGCCACATTTCGAAAACCACCCGCCCTCAATCCGTGAAGCTCTTGCAGTTTTTTTAAAAGCGAATGTGCGCGGCGCTAAGGCGAGAGCCACATTTTGCAAACCACCCGCCCTCCATCTGTGAAACTGTTGTCAGCTGTTCAGCTTCAGAGTCATAAGTGGTGAGGAAGTCTAAGGCGAAACGCCAGGCTCGCACTAAAAACTTGCCTCGGGGTGCGACAGGGAGGAGGTATCTATAAGGAGAACGGATGGATGAGGAAAGGGAGAGAAGAGCACCACAGTCGTAATTGAGTGCTGGTAATAATGGGTGCTGGGGGGGCTGTCCCCATACACACACACACATATATATATATATATATATATATATATATAGAGAGAGACAAACCAATTCATACATATATATATATATATATATGTATATATATACATATATACACATTTGTGCATCAATATATGTCTGTGTGTTTACAATCGGGCGGGGGGGGTGAATTCCCCCCTCCCCACCCCCCCAAAACGGGATCCCCTGGATCCGTGGTCCTGGGGGCGCCCCTGCAGAATGTCCCCCGGGCATTCCGGGGCTCCTGGAGGCCCCTACTGGGTCTAGGCAACGGGAGCAAGTTGGTCAGGAGGACGGCCGGACAGCCCCGCGAGAGCCCCAAGAGGCCCCAGACACCCACCAGACGCCCGAGGACGACCCAACGAAGACCCCCACGAGGCTTCCGAAACAAAAGGAAATATTAATTTCCAATGGTTCTTGTTTGTTTTTGGGAATGCTCTGCTCTCCGGTTTTCCTGGCGTCCGAGACCGCCCAGGAGGCCAGA